GAGGAAGAGAGTGGTAACAGTGAAGAAGTTTCTTTAGATGAAGAGTCACATTCAGAGGAGGACTTTGATGTTGGTGTAACCAGCACTGAAGACATGATGCTATTTGGTGATCCTGAAGATGAGGAAGAGAGAGGGGGTCAGACAATTGTGAACAAGATGGCTAAGTTGTATAAAACAGGGAGGCTATGGGTAAGAGGTAGAGATGGGAAGGTTGACCTAAAAGTGGGTGACGTATTTAGTTGCAAAGCTGATTTATTGAGGATCATGAAGGATTACTGTATTCAGAAAGGGATTTTTTTGAAGAAAATAAAAAATGACAAGAAAAAGTATACTCAAGTTTGTATGAATAATAAGTGTGCCTTTAGGATCCATGCCTCTATTCTCATTGATGGACACTCCTGGATGATCAAATCTTTTACTGATGGACATGTTTGTGCGGTGAAAGAGCATCACAAGAGGGCCGGGGCAGCTTGGGTTGCAAGCCATATGCTCGAGGAGTTTAGAAGTAATAGGGAAATGAATGCTACCACTGTCCAAACGCGAATGTTGACTAAATTTAACACATATATTCCTAATTACACTTGCTGGAGGGCCTTGAAGCTCATGAGGAATATGGTTGAAGGAAGACACGAGGATGGTTACAAACTTTTACCTCAATACTTGGAGGTGTTTAAGGATAGAAATCCAGACTCTTCTTGCTTCATAAGGTGGGAGGAAATAGGTCCTGGTAGAAATCCAATTTTCAGAAGATGCCAAATCTGTATTGGCTCAGCAATCACATCATTTAAGCAGTTTTGTAGGCCATTAATTGGTATCGATGCATGTCATTTAAAGGGTCCTTACCAAGGTATACTTTTAACTGCTATGGCATTGGATGGGACTAATGGCCAATTTCCATTGGCATATGGTGTAGCAGATCGCGAGGATGAGACAGAGTGGTGTTTTTTCCTGAATGGACTAGCAGATGCCCTAGGATGCCTTGAGGACGCATCTAAATACACTATAATATCAGACACGCATCAGGTAAATGTTTCTGTTATTATGGTTTATTGTAAAAACCTTTACAAATGTACTTATGCAACTGTTTTTATAGGCCATAGTTACAGGGCTACACAATGTTCTTCCAAAGGCTTCTAGAAGGATATGTGTGCTGCACTTTTATAAGAACTTTGCCTCAAAGTTTTCAGGTACACTACTGAACTCATTATCTTCATATAAAGAGGCATTTATAAAAGATTGTTTTAATGACATACTCTTATTTTCATTAATAGGAGCATGGTTCCATTCTTTCTTCTACATTGTGGCCAACACTTTCTCAGAATATGTCTTCAACAGAGCCATGGACAAAATTAAAGAGGAGGATGCAGAAGCATATGAGTGGCTTATGAAAAATGAGCCACATGAACATTGGGCCAGGCATAAATTTAATCCAAGCTTGAAGTGTGAAGATAACACCAATAACTTTGTGGAGTCCTTCAACAAGGCAATTATAGCACATAGGGCCAAGCCAATTCTGCAAATGTTAGAGGAAATCAGAAAACTAGTTGGGAATATATTTGAAAAAAGATTTGGAATGGGTAGTAGCTGGTCTAGTGTAGTCACACCATATGTTGACAAAAAACTTAGGGAGATTTCAATGGAGTCCCGAGTTTGTTTAGAGGTTGTTGCAGCAGGAAGAGGAGAATTTGATGTACTAGATGGGACCACAAACTTCACAGTAAGACTGAGAGACCATAGTTGTGATTGTAACAAGTGGCAAGTGTCCGGTCTTCCCTGTAAGCATGCCGCAAGATGTATCCTTAGAATTAATGAGAACTTAGAAGATTATTGTTCACCTTTGTTTTCAGTAGGTAATTACAGGGCCTTATATGATGGCATCATACACCCTATCCCAGATCCATGCATGTGGGGGCAGAGTGAACTTCCAAAACTGGACCCTCCCAAGAACATGAAAAAGAAAGGAAGACCAAAGAAGCATCGAAGAAGAGATGGACTTGATGATGTTATTGCAAAGGAGCATAAAAGGATACCTCATGGGACAAAGCGTTGCAGCAAATGCAAACAGGTGGGACATAATCACAGGACTTGTGGCCAAGGCAGAGATGAAGAAGGAAGACTATTGAAGAAAAATAAGATAAAGAAAAAAGCATCACCAAAGGCCTAGTAGTATTGCAGCAGTGGATATGTTTAAAAAAATGTTCTACCATTTTGTATTGTTAAAAAAATGTTCTACCATTTTGTATTGTTAAAAAAATTTTCTACCATTTTGTTAAGGCACTAGTGGCCAAGGTAGATATGTTTACGGAATGAGCATTGTGCTCTTTTTCATTTTGTTGTTTGTCATTCTGCTGTTTTTTCGGTTGCAAGCAATATGTTTGAGGAGCTTAGACACTTGCTGCAGTTTTTAAACCTCAATGAATGACCAATGTGCTGTTTTTTGATCTTTGCTGCTGTTTTTTCTTCTATGCTGCTGTGCTGTTGTTTTTATGTAGTATGCTGTTTTTTGGGTTCCTTGATGCTGTTTTTATGTAGTATGCTGTTTTTTGGCTTGGTAGCCATAGTCTATTATATTGTAACTTGTAGGACCACAAACTGGACAATTTCCTTTAAGTTCCTGAACTAATTAGGTTTGGATAGTAATTTACAAATGCCAAAGCCACTTCATTAGGATCAGTCTCCAACTCAAAATTCAGAGTACAACAACATTCAAAGTACATCATACAAACTCAAAATTCAGAGTACAACAACATTCAAAGTACATCATACAAACTTCAACATCAAGCTATTACTTTCACATTTTTCATCACATTACATAAACAAAACATTAACCACATAAACGATGACGAGCGCTACAACAAAACCAGAGATAAATGGTGCAACAATTGTCTTCCTTTTTAAGAGCTTTATCTCCTCTTGATTTGCATTCCTATTCTTTAGAAGCCCAGGAATTATCTTCTTGGCGCGTTCACAAATTGGCGGGTCGAGCCATTCCCAATACAAGCATTTATGATTACCCTATTCAACAATGACTAACATAAGCAACTTAAATAAGAAAAATCAACACTTTAATGTCAATGAAGGAAGAAAGTGAACCTACTTTTCCACCACACGTGCATAATCTTCTTCCGGGATTCTTATCAGTCCATGATGTCACTAACTTCATCTCTTTCCCACATTTACAACAGGGCACATCGAGCCATTCGCCATACTCACAGATTCTTCTATAGGAAAGTGACTACCACAAGTATTAAAAAATAAAAAAAATGTAAATATATGTTCATCAATTGCTGCTTAATACCAGAATTTTCAAAAAATTACCTGTTTTGAGCCATTCACGACCAGATTCGTCTTGCAACCTGCATAACCAAAATAGCAAAACTCAATCTCTTTTCCTTCAATTTGAGTCACACGCACAAAAGCAAACCCTACCTTTTTATCAAAGCAAATATGAACTAAATGTAGAGATGGATCTTGACCAAAATTTCGTCTATTTAACGCAAACCAGACCTCTTCAATTCGTACCTCTTCAACGCAAACCCTAGCTCTTCAATTCGTATGCTTCAATTTCCGGATTTTCAAGCTCTTTTTATCTCCAAAAATCTTATCCTCTAATCTATTCGTACGCTCATTTTCCTCTTTTTATCTCAATCATATTAACCCTATTAATACCAACCTCCTTTGACGGAAGAATAAACGGAGTGGACTCATCAGTAAGTTTTTATATATTTTGGGGTACCCCGTAGTTAGTTTTAAAAATAGAGGGTACCCGGCAGTTATTTTATCAAAATAGGGGGTACCCGAGAGCAGTTTTTTGAACCTTTTCACTATCATGTCCTTCGTTATGATCCAATGTAAGTTCATAATTGTGTTCTTTCCACAGGTTCAACGTAGGTGCAGTCACTCTTTTGAACTTCTCAATGTCTCCAACGAGCTTCCTCATCCTATTCGCTGACCAGGTGGCAAAAAATGGACGATTTTTGAAAGTCCCAGATTTTGACGTATGTTTTAAAATGCCCACAAAAAAGCTTCATATTGTTGATATAATATACTCCCTCCGTCCAGAAATAAAGTTTACGTTTCTCCTTTTTCTCCGTCCGGAAATAAAGTTTACATTTCTAATTTTAACCCACACTCTTCCAAAAATACCCTTCCCTACCATTTCAATCTTCTCTCTCCCTCTCCCCCCTTCCTCCTCTTCTTCCTTAGTTCCTCTTTTCTTCTTTTTCTTTCTCCCATCTGCCAGATCTTCCGCCAGATCTGTGAATCGAACTTTCAATCCTCCCTCTCCCCCTCCCCCTCCCACTTATTCTTCTTCTTCTTCTTCTTCTTCCCCTTCTCCTTCTTCTTGTTTTTCTTCTTCTTTTCTTTCTCCGGATCTTCCTCTGTTCGTTCTCTCGACACAGCGGCTTCCCTGGTGGACGAGGCAGGAGATCCTGGTGCTCATACAGGGGAAGAGAGTCGTGGAGGCCGGTGCCGAAGATCCGGAGGTGGAAACTTTGTTCGACAGCGGGAAAAAGTGCGGCGGCCGAGGATGGGCTGTTTTCGATTTTGAGCCGTGAGACTGGATTTTCCATAGATGGCGGAAGCTTAGGGAGTTGCGGGCTGGATCGTTCAGGTGGAAAAGCAAAAAGGGGAGAAAGGGGTATTTTTGGTATTTTAAGTGTTTAGTCAACTCCCAATAAAAATGACAATAAGTCAAAACGTAAACTTTAATGCCGGACGGAGGGAGTAGTAAATAGGTAAGATGTGACTCTCACCGCCTAAATAGAGACTTAAAGTAACTTTCTCTGACCGAGGTCTGATGTAGAAACCTTTTCATCACACCTTAGTATCTTTGCTTCGTCAGAACTTGTAAACTACAACCAAACCTATGACCATGCATGTGTGTGTCTAAGGCTCTAATCATGAGCTTCTAACATCTCTCTCCCTGTGATTGGTTCAGTCACATAAGTCTTTATTTTCTTGCATATTGTTTCCTTCATCTCAGATGGAACCAAAGATTCACTATTTTTTTTGGTTTTGGGGTATGATGGAATAAAGTAAAATGACTCTGTTAATAGTGAAGCAGCGGTTAGTCAACACAACTTTCAATGCTCATCATGGGTCACCTGGAAACAGCCACTCTATGTTTTAAAGTTTCAACATAGGGGTGTACATCCGAGCCCCCTTTACCCAACAATGGGCTGGGGTAATGTTGTTGTTTTTGTTGATGCTGTTTTCTACTCCCTCTGTCCTAGAGTATTTGTCCACTTTCATTTTTACGCACCATCCAATGCACTTCTTTAATCCATTTTATCTTGTAATTTGTATATTAAAAAATTATAGAAATTATATATTAAAAATCTATATGTTAAGACAAATCAAACAAGATTACACATGACTATATTTAGGCTTACACATTGAGAGAATTTGATGAGTCAAAATGCTTAGATGAACAGTTCCAAAAGTCAAAAGTGGACAAAAACTGGGGGACGGAGGGAGTAATTATTAACAAATTTCATAGAATGCAGAATTATATTCTGTTTTATTTTGAAAACTTGAACTCAAGTGAGACAAAAAATGTGCTTCCAAATGCAGCAGATTAGCTAAAAGTAAAAACTTGTTAGGTTCGTTTGAAATGCTTCCATTCATTCTTCTGATTTAACATTCCTAGAAGCATCACACATGGTAGAGAAGTGAATTTAATCAGGAGTAATTAAAATTTTTATATATCTGTCTAGCCTGATGTTGAAACTTGGTTCTTATAAATGTGCTTTATGAATTGCATCTACTCATATCAATTTGATTTGCAACCTTTACATAATAAGCATATATGTTGTTTTGGCCATACTTGAACTTAATGCAAATATGAACAGGTACGAAGGTCAGCGTTATATGCTCTACGCCTCGACACAACCAGATATTCAACCTAGACCGAGTTGTATTTGCTTCTGAACAGATCAAAGTTGCTCAGCAAACAGTATGTTTGACGAGCCTCATGTGATTTTTTCTTATGTGTTTGCAAAACATACTTGTGAATCCTCATTTTCTTCAACTTGTGTATAAATTACTCAACTACTCAAGTATGAAGATTATGTGTATAATTAAAATATCTCCTGGGGTAGTCAAAAACCATTTAAGAGCTCAACTTGTGGGCCTGTGGCATGTGTAAAATATACGGGATAGTAGCATGTTTTAACCTAATGTTATGAAGAGTGCCATTGTTTCAACCTTGATATACTGGGAAATATTGTGAAAAGAAAAAAAAAGGTCACATACACCTTATTCAACCGGATTACTATTGGGACACATGTTACATTTTTAATAGATATCTACCTATGTCTATTTGAAATATTGTATGGAGTGTTAAATATAGTTCTCTCGATGTACTTATTAAAATTATGAAACTAGATTTGGAGATCATCTTCTAGAAGAAGTCACTATGTTGTATTCCTTGGGCTGTTTCAATTCATGGAAAAGTATGTCTTCTTCTTGATTTAGTGCCCAGAGGGGCAAATCTCACAGCTTGCAAGGAAAAGCATATTCTTTAACCTGATTGAAACCTGCTGTCTACCTCCCTAGACGTAGGACAATAATCCATTTGTTCTGTGAAAAGAATTTCATGATGTTTTCTCTTTTTGCTTCTCCAGCTGACATGCAGCTTTGAAATCAGCAAATAAAGAATTGAATGGAATGATGGAACTGTGAAGATTCACGACATCAATTAGGTATCTCTTCTGTTCCTATACTTTACATTGTCTTGCATTCTTGCATAACGAGTAGTACAATATCATCTCATAACAGGGAGTTTGATGCATACATAACTTGCAAGATGAAATGATGGACCTGATGGATGTTAGTAACTAAATTTGAGAAACTATTGGTAGAAGCTAGTGTTCCTGATGAGGAAGAGCTTATGGGTGGTAAGCAAGCATAGATGTCCAATTAGATATGCTGTTTAATTTGAGGATGAAATCCAACCATTTTAATCAACAGTTTTATAGGAACATTGTTTTAAGATTTTTTTTAACTTGGAGAATACTGCAAGGAATAAATACTGCATGTTTGTTCTTCTATGTTTTCCAATTTTCAATTAAGAGAGTGATTGTGAGCCTGTTTGGCAATGATTATTTAGCTGAAATGGTTGAATTGATGGGTAAGGTCTGCGTACAGATAAACCCTCCCTAGACCCTACTCTTTGTGGGATTCTACTGGGTTTTGCTGTCTTGTTTTGGATGAATTGATGGAATTTTCTGGGATAAAAAGTGTTCGGTAACATCCATTTCTGCTAAATCATGAAGTCAAGAGCTACCAATTATGTGTCTTCACACTTGAGAAGCTGAATTTGCCCATTATAAGAATCAAATGGGCCTAAACCTATGGTTTTTGTAATAATGGAGACAGTTGTCACACTTGTCAGACAAAATGCATTTTTTTGGTGCCATCATTTTGACTTTGGTGCAGAGTTTGATGCATTGGAAGCGGACATGGAGAGTGAAGGGCATAGAGTCCCTTCATACCTCAAGGCTTAAGCTCGACAAGGAGAGTGAAGCTGATAAAATGTTGGGTTCAGAGTTTAACCTGCCTGCAGCACCAACTTGGCCATGCTCCATTCCCAGTTAACACTGAGGTATGAAATATTACCATCTCTCTTAAAACCGAGAGTCCATTCTTCGTGATAGTGACACTAACTAACATGTTTGGCCAATCGAAAGTCCACTTTTTTTTTTTTGGTCGAAACTTTCATTTTGAGTTCCAAACAATCTCTACAGACCTATGTACTAAAAGACGTGCAGACTTTTTTCGAATACTCCGTACTAACTTAAGATCAAAGCTCTTATATAATATGAAAAAATGATAACTCAAATTTAAGATGTGCACACATTGAATCATGGCAAGATTTAATTTTTGGAACTTATTTTAACATTTGTTGTGAGTTGCATACTGTTGTCTTTTAATCTTTATATTTTATATAAACGGGTGGGAGATTTTGGCACCCCTAACAATAATGTTTCCTATTTTGATATTTTCACTCTTTTAATCTTGTTTAGGGAGTTCTCGGCTAAAATCCACCATTGGTCCTTCAACTTTATCAGTTGTGCATGATTGGTCCTTCAAGTTTCAAAAGTCCATAAATAGTCCTTCAACTTTATAAGTTCTGCACCATTGGTCCTTCAAGTTTCAAAAGTCCATAAATAGTCCTTCAGGTACACGTCAACCCTCCATATGAAGTCTTTTTGACAGTAAATATTAAAAGTTAAAAGAAATATTAGTTTCATATAATACGAGTAAATTCCACTAGGTACGACTACTCTGTATTATATGGAGCTAGTATTCTATTTAGCTTTTAAAATTTACTGTCAAAAGGACCTCATCTGGAGGGCTGACGTGTACTTAAAGGACTATTTATGCACTTTTAAAACTTGAAGGATCAATCGTGCATAACTCATAAAGTTGAAGGACTATTTATGGACTTTTAAAACTTCAAGGACCAATCGTGCACATTTGATAAAGTTGAAGGACCAATGGTGAAGTTTAGCCGGGAGTTCTCCTTTGCTTAGTATTATTATTGAAAATATGTAATGAAGTTGTGCACTATATGTGAGAGCACCCATGAAGCAAAGTGGAAGCCTAGGAAATACGTATACACTAATGCTATTTTCATACTTGTACTATAAAGTGATGTGTGCTTTTAATGGAAAAAAAAGAAAAGCATTTTGTCCACTAGCTAATTCTATTTTTGTAAAAGGGAATAACCTGGACCTGCCTGAGTGAATTTTTGGCAATGAGGGCTCATTTGGGCACTGTAATATTCCATTACAATTTTAAAATTGTTATTGAACTTTATTTTTTATACCATAATAATTTTAATAGATTTTGTTTCACATTATAAATTGTAGTGAAACAAGCCAAATTTTGATTATCAATTGAATAAAACTTGCATTACATATAAGTATAAAAATGGTTTAATTAAATTTATTTGTAAAAGATTTTCAAAAAGTTATTTTATTTTATTTAAAATACTCTAAAGCAATAAAAAAAATTCCAGCCCGTTCACTCTGTATTGGCTTGAGAGAGACCTGTATTGGATCTGCTTACTATGTAACTAATTATAAACTCAGGAGTGATATTTTTGTTTTTATTTTGTTTTCCATTTCTGTAACAAAGCCTCTTATTTTCCTACTCATAAATGTATAAACAGAATAAAACATTATATAATGCATGGTTTGCATGAAAAAGAAGAATTAATCTCACATCATCATATCTTTATATTATACTGTGTGTGCGTGGTGCGAGTGAGAGATCCTTATAGCACATGGTTATAATATTTATGCTAACTAGTTGTAGAAATTTAGCCTTAATTAAATATAATCTTACTATCTTACCAAGCTTATTCTCTATAAGTGGATGTCCACACACACAATGCATTACTCATATGGGTTAGTACATGATAGTCCAGTTCATCTCTATAAAAATAGAAGCCCTCCTGAGCGCTACGATTGGTAAAGCAATTTAGCACATGCATCAAGTGTACTGATAGGTATATATACATCGTATCCTTCATTACCATAATCTTCTTACGCCATGGATAAATTTATATTTCATTCAATTGATTTTCTTCTTATATTTCTAGTAATGCGATTAAGTTGTCTTATGTACCTTGCAAGCACTTTTACGTTTACCATCGTGACTCCCAAGTCCCAAGTGGACGTTGGAGTCCTTGGTAGTGTCGGCTTGCCAAAAAAGTGACATCTCCCCCAGCAAATGTAAATGCCGATAAATCTTTAGTTGTGGCAAAGAGTTGCTAATGGCAGTGTTGATCCGCTGCTGCCCAGGCCGAATAGTACTCGGCGGTACCGTTTTTTTGGCAAGCCGGAATTACCAAGGACTCCGATGTCCTCTTGGGAGTCACGATGGTAAACATAAAAATGCTTGCAAGGTACATCAAGACAACTTAATCGCACCACTAGAAATATAAGAAGAAAATCCGTTTGGTGAAATATAAATTTATCCATGGTGCAAGAAGATGATGGTAATAAGAAGAATGTAATGGAGGATACGATGTATATATAGCTATCAGTACACTTGATGCATGTGTTGAATTGCTTTACCAATGGTAGGGCTTAGAAGGGCTTCTATTTTTATAGAGATGAAATGAACTATCATGTGCTAACCTATACGAGTAATGTACTCTGTGTGTGGACATTCACTTACAGAGAATTAGCTTAGTAAGATAGTAAGATTATATTTAATTAAGGCTGAATTTTTACAGCTAGCTAGCATATCATAAATATTATAACCATGTGCTATAAGGATCTCTCACTCGCACGCACAGTATAATATAAAGATATGATGATCTGAGATTAATTCTTCTTTTTCATGCAAACCATGCATTATATAATATTTTATTCTGTTTATACATTTATGAGTAGGAAAATTAGAGGCTTTGTTACAGAAAAGGAAAACAAAATAAAAACAAAAGCATCACTCAGTGAGTTTATAATTAGTTACATAGTAAGCAGAAGATCCAATACAAGTCTCTCTTTAGCCAACATAGAGTGAACAAGCTAAAATTTCTTTTATTGTTTTAGAGTATTTTAAATAAAATAAAATAATTTTTTGAAAATCTTTTACAAAATAAATTTAAATAAATCATTTTTATACTTATATGTAATGCAAGTTTTATTCAATTGATAATCAAAATTTGGCATGTTTCATTGCAATTTATAATGTGATACAAAATCTATTAAAATTATTATAGTATAAAAAATAAAGTTCAATAACAATTTAAAAACTGTAATGGAATGTTACAGTGCCCAAATGAGCCCCATTGCCCAAAATTCACCCAGGCACATTATTTGTCCAGGTTATTCACTTTTACAAAAATAGAATTAGCTAGTGGACAAAATGTTTTTCTTTTCTTTTTTTCCATTAAAAGTACACATCACTTTATAGTACAAGTATGAAAATAGCATTAGTGTATACGTATTTCCTGGGCTTCCACTTTGCTTCATGGGGTGCTCTCACATATAGTGCACAACTTCATTTCATGTTTTCAATAATAATATTAACTACGGAGTATTAAGCAAAGGAGAACTCTATAAACAAGATTAAAAGAGTGAAAATATCAAAATAGGAGACATTATTGTTAGGGGTGCCAAAATCTCCCACCCGTTTATAGAAAATAGAAAGATTAAAAGACAATAGTATGCAACTCACAACAAACGTTAACAGCGTGTTATTAGTCCCATATTGAGTAAAAAAAAAGTTGGAATAAGCACGTACAACCTCACAAGTAAAACAAAAAATCATCAGATCACCATACATATATACACTCCCTCTCTCATGCTAACAAAGGAATGGAAATATTGGAACAAAATTAAAACAAATTGAAAGAAACTTGAAATATTTGAAAAAAAAAGTTGAAATATGTTTTGGCCTGGTACTTATTACCAATTGTTAAGCTTTTAACCATACAAATGTGTTAGAGTACATCCCACATCGAAAGTTCAAGAGTAAAATAATTCATATATAAGTTTTGAGTTGAACTAACTAATCGATTGGATTCAATCTTTTAATGTGGTTAAGCCCAAAAGTCTTATTGCCCAATCCAGTTATCCACACCCAATCCTAAATTTATCATGGTATCCACACCCACCGTTAGTCTTTAGCCCAGTTATCCGTATGGAGTATGTACCCAACCGCCTGTGACCCGTTTAATACGATTGCTCGTCTAGAAGTCCATACCTAGCGGTTCGTGGTCCTTTAGGTGTTGGCGCTAAAAAAAGTCAAGGGAACGAGAGTTCATTTACAAGTGGTCAACTGGTTAGATTCAAAATGGTCCGGTTATCCACTTGAAGGGGAGTGTTAGAGTGCATCCCACATCGGAAGTCTAAGAGTAAATAATAATCAGTATATGAGCTTTTGAGTTGAACTAACTAATCGATTGGATTCAATATTTTAATATGGTTCAGCCCAAGTGTCTTATTGTCCAATCCAGTTATTCACACACAATCTTACATTTATCAGCATTTGGATCATGGTGTAATATATTTTCCATCATCTCTG